TCCAACACTACAGAATGAATAGAGACTTTTCAAATTTATTCTACCATTGCAGAAATGACAACACTTTGCTACACTATCAGAGAATTCCAGTTAAAAAGAAGCTTAAGACTCTGTAGCCTCTTACCTTTAACAGCATGGGGAAGCATAACTTTTTTTAAAGATAAATCAAAAGTTGTTGCCTATCTAAGAACATTCTGTAATAAACTCATTGTAAAATGCAAAAAAAAAAAAAAAGAAAAGTAAAGAAAAGAAAAGAAGGAATGTGTGCTTGCTCATCTGAGACATGAATTATGCACGGTTCCTCACAGCACAGCCTGAAAGCTTTCGGCCATCTGAGTCCTGACTGGTATATTGATCAGGTCACAAAAACCATTCATTTCCTTGGGTACTGGATTATGAAATCCAAACATATTTCTCTCTCTTTTTTTAAAGACTTATTTAACTTTATTTATTTATTTTGGTGAGGTTTTCGCTATAGGGCGCGTGTGCGCTCGCCAGACAGACAGAGAGAGACATAGAGACAGAAAGCCAGAAATCACCCCCCAGGGGGGATGGTCACGCCGCAATCCCTTCTCCTCCATTCTCCTCTCGGGATCTTGGGCACGCACGCTCACGCGCCCGCCCGGCGTGATTTTTAAGCCACCGGGTCTGGGACGCAAACCGTGGTTGACTACGTGGGAGTCCAGCGACATAGCCATTACGCTAACTGCTGGTTCCCAACTTTATTTATTTATTCATTTGTTTATTTCAGTTTTACCAGAGAGGGAGAGAGACAGAGAAAGAGCAAGAGAGTGAGAAAGCAAGCCACCAGGTCCAGGACTCAAACCAATGTTGACCATGTGGGAATCTAGCACCTTTAACCACCACGCTACCTGCTGGCCCTCTGAACATAGTTCTCTTTAAGACTGCTGTTATTACTATAGAAAATGGAAAGACCATCCAATTTGAAGATGAGATGATGAAGAAAGCACTTCAGTATTCTCCAAGTATGGGAATTTCAGAGCTTGTGTCCTGGCTCAAAAAGTTAAATAATCCTCCCACCATCCATTATCCATCCAGTCAAGGACAAATGGACTTAAGTGTCACATCTGGCAGCCAAGAAGGTCTTTGTAAGTTGTTTGAAATGATCATTAATCCTAGAGATAATGTCCTTGTAAATGAACCTGTTTATTTGGGAATACTTCAAATCCTGTGAGTATTGGGCTGCAACATGATTAATGTTGCTAGCGATGAAAATGGGATGATTCCAGACTCCCTTGAAGAAATACTTTCTAAATGGAAACCAGAAGATTCAAAGAACCCCAAATGGCAACAACCCTACTGGATACTCATTAAAAAGTGATTGCAAGGGACCAGCGGGTGGCATGGTGGTTAAGGCGCTGCCAACTGCGGCCGACCTGGGTTTGAGTCCTGGACCTGGTGGCTTGCTTTCTCACTTCCTCTCTCTCTCACTCTCACCCTCTGTCTCTCTCTGTTCAAATTTAAAAAATCAACAAATGAATAAATAAAAAATTAAATAATTATTTTTTTAAAAAAGTGATTGCAAACATGAAATCTAAGCTTGCAAGAAAATATGATTTCCTCATAATAGAAGGTGATCCTTACTATTTTCTTCAGTTCAATGAGCCTTGGACACCTACATTTCTTTCCATGGACATTGATGGAAGTGTCATCAGAGTGGACTCTTTTTCAAAAATCCTCTCCTCTGGATTGAGAATAGGGTTTATAACTGGTCCAAAAGCCTTGATAAAGAACATTCTTTTCCAAATGCAAGTTTCAACGTTGCGCGCCAGCACTTTTAGCCAATTTTTGATAGCACAGCTTCTCCACCAGTAGGGAGAAGAGGGCTTCCTGGTTCACTTAGATAGGGTTATTGATTTCTTTCTTTCTTTTTTTTTGGAGAGGTTTTTGCTATAGGGTGCATGCGCTTGCCAGCAAGACAGAGAGAGACAGAGAGGCAGAAAGC